ATCAGCGCGTGTGGGTGTGGGCTCGTCTGTACGTCCATGGAAACACACACGCCTGTACTTGGTGCACGGCTAGCAGCGTGAGCTTTGGCACACGGGTGCCCCGTCCCGCCCGGTGTCCCACAGAGTTCCTCGTAGGGCTGGTCCTATGCCCTGTGTCCTGGGCTCCCCCACACCCCGTTCCCTCTCCACGTCCTCACGGCAGCCTGAGGCGTGGCTACTGATGCCCCATTTTCTGGGTAGGAACTTGAGGGGGACGGACCCCACGGTGCAGGGCTGCAAAGTCTTCAGGGGCCTGGCGGCACCATGTCGCACACAGAAAGGCCGTGTCTCACCAACCGCGAGTGTGGCGGATGCGGTGCTCCTGGGGAGCCAGCACGCGGCCCGGATGACGGCCTCTCTCGGGTTGGGGTCGGGGTGGGCACTGTTGTGTACTCACCGATGCCGAACAAGGCAGTTGACGGAAGTCCTTATGGCTGATTTTTAAAAATCATAAAACCTTCATCCTTAGGAACCAGAAAGACTTCCCTAGTAAGCAAGTCAGACTGGCAGCGTCGTTTCCCATCACAGTGGGGAAGAGGCAGCCGGGCAACAGCACAGGGGTGTTAGGCACATCTGCGGAAGTCTGGAGGAGGGTGGGTACGTAGGGAGAAGTGGTGATTGCTTTCCGATGACGGTTATAAACCCAAGGGACCTGACTCCAGTCATTAGAAATAAGAGGGAAGGATAGGTAGCTCATTGCACAATGAACTTGCAAGTATCAGATTCGTAGCTTTTCTATTAGAATAATCCGAAAAAAAGTAACGAAAGACGGATCTCACTCATAATGGCATTAACAGTAACAAGGTGTCTTGGGACCCCCAGTGACAAGGACGCCAGGCCTGGATGAGGCCTGCTCAGGGCCTCCCCATACCTGGCTTGAAACGCTCTGCCTCTAGTGTTGATTTACATCTTTTATTCAGTTCCTTGAAAATCCCAAAGGAACTTGAAGCCCCCTGTCAGGCTTCAGTTCCTGTGGAAGATGAACTTGGTGAGGCTCTTGGTGCGTCTTCAGGAAAGAGAAATGGTGGGAGGGCCCTGGGGGCCTGAGGCGGGCTGGCCCGTGGGACACTGGGCGCAGAGCAGAGCGTGGGGTCCGGTGAGTGGCTCTGGTGACGCTGGCTTAGTCGGGGAGAAAGGAAGTGGCTTCTTACTTGGCCTGTGCTCCACCGCCCTGGGAGACCACGTCCTTCGTTTTGATGGTGGTCGTTTTCCGTGTGTATAAACTGCACGTATATCCTTATCTGGAAGAAGTGATACAGTACTCTGCTCTTTCCTGTTAACAACGTGAATGTCTCTCCTTGTGAATGATCTATTTCTATAGCGCGTCTTCTCGACAGCTGTGTAGGACTGAACACGTCGGTGAATTCAGCCCCAGTGCCTCTGCGTCCATGCTGTGTCCTGTCGGATCTCCTTCCTTGCAGGAATGGAGGGAGCGGTCCCTTGCTGTGTTCTGTGGCTCCGACGAGGAACCCCAGTGGGGAGTGACCACGTGGTCCCCCCGCCCACTGGGCGTGGAGGGCAGGTTCTGCGGCGCAGGGGTGTGCTTGCGAGGGCCTCGCGGTGGAGCTGGGGTGGGCGCGCACGTGGTCCGAGCTGGGTCTGTGCTGCCGGCCTCACCTGGTCTCGCTGGGCCCTGGGAGGGCAGCTGGGGGTCCCGTAGTTCACGGATGGGCCAGGGGTCCGGCGTGCAGTGTGGAGTCCAGCTCACCCTGCCGTCTGAGGCCCAAAGAGGGTGGTCTTTTGAGGTCTGCTTAGTGGAAGCGTATCTGCTGGCTGGATTTACTCTCCTCTCCCTTCAAGTCACCCAGCACAGATCAGCATTTTGGATAAATGTGGAGAATACTCAGTTCAGTGTGAAGATTACCTGCCTGGTAAGAGTTTGTGGATTTCCACCGTGGAAAAGGAAGTTTGATTTTTCTTTTGATCGGCTTATTAATTAGATGAGTCACGTTATGTTTAGCGCCACAGCATCTTTTACTGGTGAGGACTCGGGGCTGCATGGTCGTCGTGGGCTCCGTGTGGCGACCCTCGGTTTGCGTCCACGTGCCTTCAGGCATCCGCAGAGACAGACTTCTCCGTCATGCTCAGGCGTGGGGTTAATTTGTGGTCGTCTTGAGTGTCGACACAGTACCCGATGGCACAGTCTGTCATTTGGGGTCGTGTAACAGAACACCCACCGCGATGGCTCGAGCAGGGAGTCTGGGCAACGCCCGCTCCGTGGGGGTCAGGGTCCCCTCCTCGTGGTGCCGACAGCGGTGCTCTGCCTGGGTCTTGGGTGTGAGAGGGGCCTGGGGGGCCGCAGCCTCCATGCGTTCTCTCCTAGCGTCAAGTTGGGGGCCACTGCAGGCTCTCCTGCCCCTTTCCCTCCACAGACGCCCGCTGTGTCTACACCAGCCTCACCACGCCCCTCGGGAGAGTGCGGAACAGGCCAGGGTCTTCCCGAGCCCCTCGGCCAGGCCCCGTGGATTGGTCCGGGGATGAGCCCTGTACACTGTGGATGTGGCCAGTTCGCCCGCCCACCCTCCAGCAGGCCTCCCAGGGGCGCGTGTCGAGGTGCTTGGAGTTGGGGCGTGTGGTGGGCCCGTGGGGGGCGCTCTTCCCCGGAGACCCTCAGCTTCCCAGCCCCCGCTGCTGCCGCGAGTCGAGCTGCTGGAGAAGAGGGTCCAGGAAGGCCGGGCGGCACAGGCACCCGCACGAGGGCCGCTTTCGGCTGCGGGCCTCCTGTCCCGGGCCCGGTCGTTAATCTGGATGGGGGCGGGGAGCCCCGGGCGAGAGAGAGCCCTTCACGCCAGCGATTCCTGTAAATGTAGCCATGGGGTCTGTGGGGTCACCAGATTCCCAGACACTGGATTGAAGGTACACGTTGAAAAGAGGACTTTTGTGATTTCTTTCAGGTTAGGTGTGTGCTGATACAGTAGTTAAAACTGACTTCGCTTGGTCTTATTAACAGTGATATTCTAGTTACTCGCTTTTCAGCAGTGTGGACCCATCTTCCGTTAAGTATGAAGGAAATGCGGAATCGTGATGTGTAGAAACAATTAGTGGGGTTTATTTCTGATTTGTACATGTGATTTTTACTCAATTTCCCCCTAGTTGAGCAGCATACGTGCCCACATTCATGAATGAAAGCAAAGCTTTGATCATAGCTCTCGTTTCACAGATAACTTAGAGCGCGACCCACACAGCTGGCACTGAGTCCCTGCAGCGTAAATAAGGAGAAATGGCTCAGGTTCATCTCATCTTTATGCTGTATGACTACATGATGAATATTAGATATACATCATTTAAATCTTGCCTGCTTTTAAAACTGACTTCAAAAGATGCATTATTTGGTGCCTTCCTTAATTTAACTCCATAGTGGTTTCATGATATTCTTTGAAGCATGTCTTGATATGTTCATTTGGATTAAAAAATGAAGTCGGACCCTTCAGCAGAGTAAGGCTGACCATGCTACATGGGCTTCGTCCAACATAAATGAGCTGGATTTTCAGCTGAATAGTTGGGATGAAACTAAAGCACACGAGCATTTTATTAAGACATTTTTTTAATTGGCAGAAATGTATGTTTACCAGTCTCAGTGCTCACGCAGACACGAGCCACCTGGGAGCAGGCCGGCAGTGCACTCCTCTGGATGCATTTTTCAGTGTAATTTTCCTTTTAATATTTTATAATTATCAAAGTTTAATGTCTTATTTTGACGGGGTTTGCGTTTCTGATAATTGCAATGGTAACTCACTTTTTCAGATGAAGAATGTTCACTTCTAGAAAGTATATTTAAGAAAACTTTAAAAATAAGTAAAATTTCAATTTATGTACAGATTTGTATTGCGGGGAAATATCTGAGGGTGATAAAAGACTTCAAAGCATAACGATGATTCAGGTAAAATTCCAGAGGTGGCTGGAACAGCACAGGCCCCCGGAGGACAGGGGGGACATCGAATTCCTCCCTGTTGAAGGGGAGGGAGTGAGTCCTGCTGGGAGCAGCAGGGGCGTCAGGCTCCTGGGGCAGGCGGAGAACGGGGGCTGGACCCAGAGGACACACATGGAGGGGCGTCGGCAGTGAGACCCCGGGGATGGGGCCCACAGGCTGGCTCGTCGGGCAGCAGAGCCAACCGTGCCCGGCAGAAGGGAGACAGAACCTACATAGCCGGCCAGCCTCTCGTGGTTTTCATCTTTGACTTGAGGTCAACTAGATGTTTTCCTGAAGACGTGTTTTCTGGAAGTAGCAAGTCGTTCAGCCTCACTTGTTCTTTTGGCGTTGCTTAATTCAACAACATTTAATTGGGTGCTTCTATTAAGTGAGCTTGTATGCCGCTATGCTGCTCACCGTAAGGTTGTCTTTGTGAAGCCGTTCCATGCCTGTGTCTGCCCAGCAGTGACAGCGCCTCCACCCCTGGGTGCTCGCTCTGCGCTGGGCTCGGTCCTGCACCCTGAGCGCATCCACGTGGTCCGTCCTCCCCACACTCTGCAGTGGGAGCCCCAGGCCAGAGCTCAGCTCACCTGTCCAGGGTCAGGGAGAGTTGGTGGTGGAACCAGGCTTGAATCCAGGGTTCCTGTGTCAGAAAAACCCTTTCTGGGTGTTAGGATGTTTTCTTTCTTCTTTGTGCTTAATTTTTTTAAAAAGCACGTTGTTATGAAACCAAGAAAGTGATGATTTTTGCGAAGGAAGCTGGACAGAAAGAGCCATTTAGCAGGTGCTGAGGTGCCGGCAGGGGGGCGCGGGGGGGATGCAGCCGGCTTCCCTCCCTTCTTTTTCCGTGAGCTTGGTCATGCTCCGTGTGTCAGGGACCCTGCGTGCCCCAGGCTTTGAGGGTGAGGGGGAATCCACCCTTGAGGACGGCGTGGCCTGAGCCGTCTCTGCGGAAGACACGAGAGCCTTGCTCAGCTCCAAGCGGAGGCCTGGTCTTGGCCTCTTCCCTCTGGCTGAGCAGCCGTGAGTCTGGGGGCCTTGTGTGTTTCAGGAGCCGCGGGGCCCGCACTGAGCACAGGGGAAGGTGACGTCCATGCCGGCCCGGGAGCCTGGCTGTGGGGCAGCCTCGCAGTGCCCGGCGTGGCTCTGCCGTGCGTCCAGGTCCAGCTGCTGCAGGTAAGAGCCCGTGAGCCGTCCTGCCCCGTCCTGCATCCCTCCTGTCCGTCACTCCACTGTGTCCAGACTTCCCCACGCATTCCCCGTGTCCAGCTCCCCTGCAGCCTGCCCTCTGCACTCCATCCCGCTCCTGCCTGAGGTCCCGTGGCCGCACCCGCAGACAACTGGCAGTGCGTCTGGCTCCTTGTGCGGCCGGGTCCCCGGACTTGGCTTCTGTCCTCACGGGGCTGGGTGAAGGCAGCGTGCTCATGCTGTGCCAGGATGCACCCGGAGGAGGTGGCCTGTGTGGAAAATGGTGCTGAGCTTGTTTCTCTCTTACTTTCTCTGCCGCACTGAGGCCCTCAGGGCAGGGCTGGCCACCTCTTGGGCTGCGCCCGGGCCATTGCGGACCTGCAGCTGCGGCTGCTCCCCCCTCTGTGGCTCTGTCACCTTCAGCCTCGCTTTCCAGGGGCTGGAAGATGGTTTGCAAGCGTTTTGGGAGAGAAGAGGTTTAAACGCTGAGGAGGTACAGCTCTGATCCAGCCTCTTTGAGCACCTCTGTGTACTCGGCTCTCGGGCCGCGGGGCCATGCAGCTGGGCCTCGAGCTGGGCTTGGGGGAGGGCTCCGGTCACTGCTGGGCCTCAGGCCGCCCCTGGAAGGCGGGTGCGCTGGTTCTGCTGCGTCTCAAGGTAGCGGGACTCCTCGGGCCAAGGTGACTGAGCCGTGTGTGCGGTTGCCTTCCCAGGATGACCCCTCAGGGCACGTGGTCTTCCCGTTGGCGCCCGGCCCACAGCCTCCTGTCTCCCAACCCCTGCTTGCTGTCATGCCCGTCTACGTCCTCCAGGTCTGGATGCCTCTTTGCTCTTTGGGTTTGTTGAGACTCGTGAAGCTTCCGGCTTCCTGAGGTGTCTCCCTGAGGCGGCCTTGCATGGGACTCGCTGGGTGGGTTGCCAGGGTGTTTTTCCACTTTGTGGAAGAGGTGGCTAAGGGATCGAGACATAAAAGGTGGAGCATACAGCTGGGATTCACTCATCACGGTAGATGGGGTGGAATTTAATACGGTCTTCAAGGGTCATACGTTTAGAATTGTGGAAGTTGGGCGGGCCAGATTTTAGCCTGTGGGGGAAATAGGCTAAGCTGAGTATGGGTGGCAGTGGATAATTGAGATTTGGGTAAAAAATAATGATGTAGCTTATCCAATTTCAAACGTTTATGTGAGAAACAAACAGTAATTTTGGTTTTCTTATATTCGAATTGGGCTGTTCGACATTTTCCGTAACGTTAGAAGTGAATGTTGAACGGAGCGCGGGGTGGGGGTGAACTGGAGGGCGTGCGACCGGTCACAGCGTCTGGACGGCCTCACGGCCATCCCCTCCATCCGTCGGGTGTTCCTCATCTCAGGGTCGTGTACAAGTGAGCAGGGGGTCGCTGTGGCCTGTTCCCTGGTGGCAGGCTGGGTGGTGGTGGTGCGGCCACGTCGCTGGAGCCCGTCTGCACTGATGCCGCGGACGGCAGCTTGTGACCGTGACTGGGAGTGGGGGGGCGCTCCCAGAGCGAGTGGGGAGGGTCAAAGGTCAGGGAGGACAGTCCCATCTCTGAAGAAACCCAGAGCAGAGCAGAGGACTGAGTTCACCTTTGCTTAGTTTTGTTGATACTAAAATTCTTCTTCAAGGAATATATGCTTAAAATAGGGGGAAAACGAGCGTTTTCAACTAAGGGAGGCCAGGGGCGCGTGTGGGCCTGCGCTGTGCTGCGGTTGCCGAGCTCACCACTGTGCTTGGTTTCGCAGGAGGTGCTCCCTGCAGCTGGAGGGGCCACTGGGCCCGAGGACATGTGGAGCTCGGGCAGCACGGTCGGCCTGTGGGCCCTGCAGTGAAACCAGCTCTGCCTGGGCCGAGGGCGCCACTTGGAAGGCTGGCCTCGTTCTTCAGAGACTTCGGGTACATTTTCGCAAGTGTTTTTCTTACGTTTTATCAGGGACCTGTTTGGGGCCGTACCATCCTCTCAGGGCAGAGCGTGCCTTTTTCCTCGCTCGGCTGTGCACGCAGCCTGCATCCGCCTGAGCTTGCTGCGTGCCTAGGGAAGAGGACGGAGCCTCCGCGGTGGCCCGTGACGGGGCTTCAGCACTCGGCGCAGCGTCTGGCTGAGAGCGAACAGGCTGTCCCCGCCCTCGGTGGGGGTCGCGGTTGAGCTGGGGTGGCACCGGGTCTAGTGGCCCAGGTGGCCTGGTGTCAGGGGAACGTGACGGGTGACGAGGCCCCCGGGCCCTGTCGCAGCCCCTGCACAGACCAAATATAGAGTTAAACCTTTAAAGTGATGATTTTGAGTTCTGTATTTGGGTAGTAACGTCTAATGGCAATTGGACAGCGGTCTGTACAGCCACGTTCTGAGCACTGAGGTGTGTGCATTGTTGAGGGTGACCGTGTGTTTTCACGGAGTGAGGTCTGTCCTGCAGAAGGAGACAAGTCAGTGGGCCGGACACAGGCTCTCAGAAACGGTGTTTTGCCTTGTGCCTTTCGAAGTGTTTTTGTTCAGATGCTGTTTTGATTCTCAGGCTTGGGAATCATCCCAACTCTGCCCATTCTGTTTGTCTCTTTTGAGTTTTTGGGCTTTTGGTTCTGATTTCTGCTGTGTCCTGCATGGGGGAGGGGGTGTTTCCATCTCTAGATGGTGCTCCCCGAAGCCCCGGGTCATCCAGCGGCCCCTCCACGAGGAGCCAGGCCCGGCGGCCTCCTGTTCTGCGGGAGGAGAGTCCGGGCCGTGCGGCTGGACCTCTGTCCCGCACACCCCCAGTGGGTGTCCCTCTGAGGTGCTCAGGACTTCCGTTTCCTGGGCACTGAGGTCCCTGCTGGTATTGGGCCCAACTCCTCATGTGAGTGAATTAAAAGTTTTTGTACAGCTGCACGTGCAAAGTTGACATTTTTCCTTTGATCCGTAGCAATAACCCACCGTCCAGCTTGCTGATTCCCCATCCCCTTTGTATTGGGGCTGATCCCACACTCACCTCGGGGTGCAGCTGGGGTTCCAGTTTTATTTTTACACTCCTCTGATCGTTAAAATAAGCAGAGAGAGATTTGTTCTAATGAAAGAGAAAAAGCAAGCACTGACTGACTGACTGACAGGAATGCTGGGAGCAGAAGAGGGGGTGGGCACGGCCCGGCCCTGTCCTGGGAAGGGCTGAGCGACAACAGCCCTGAAGCCAGGCTCAGTGTCCCGAGCTCGGGGACAGAGGGTGTCCTTCCTGCTGCACTACAGCCAGGCTGCGTGGGCTCCATGGGCTCCAGACAGTGCCCCGCCCTGCAAAGCGCACAGGCGCCTTTGGTTCAACGTCTTCAGGCCGCAGCGCCCTGCCCTCCCCTCCACACGGGCATGCACGCTCGCCGGCAAGGGCTCCTGACCTCAGGCTCCATCCCGGGCTCAGGCAGCAGCAGCTCCAGAGTGTGTGTGCGTCCTCGGCTGACCGGCAGAGGCCAGGGTCAGCCTCTCTGGGGGTCCGGCTGGGAAGAAACCACACCCTGTTTCCATGGGCACGAGGGGAAGGTTCTCCTGAGCGGCAGGGATGCCTGGGCTCCTTAGGAAGGTCCAGATGCTGGTTCTGAGGTGCCATCCAGCACCGTTTCACTCCTCAGTAGCCAGTGGGCGAGGAAGCAGAGTGCCAGGAGGCCGGTCCCGAGGAGGTCCCCCAGCCCCGTGAGGTAGGGGATGCAGTGGTCATCCGGGTCCAGGGCCTGGTTCCATGTCAGCCGAACCGTCGCTTCCGCCAGGTACAGCAGGATCGTCACCTGTCACGAGGTGAGCAGACACAAGGTGATGATGGCCGAGGAGAAAGCCCGTGTCACCAAGAAACCAGCAGATCTCAAGAGTGGACACCACGGTGGACACATCCACCCCAGGCCCTCCCTGGGCTCCTCCCGGGTGTGCCGCGCAGCTTGGCGGCCGCGCACCGCCCAGCTCCACCCACTGCCTCGGAGGCTCGGACAGGGGTCTGGCTGGAAGTGCAGCTCGGACTTCCCGGAGGTCCCCTCCTGGGGCAGCTCCGGACAGCTGGTCCTTCGTGGAGGCACCTCAAGCCCTGGTCAGGTCCCAGGTTCCCGCAGCCACTTCCCTGCCCTGCGCTGCTCTGGACAGTCTCCCAGGCTCCCCAGCCTGTCCTTCAGGGTCACGGACACGCTGACGCCGCTCTCATGGGAGTGCCCACCGGAGCTCACCATTACCCTGCAGAGGCCCCAGCCCTCCCAGCTAGAGTCTCGGAAAACGGCCTGACTGAAGTCCACACGTGCCTGTAGCAGTGCGTCTTGATCACGCCCTTGGGCTTGGATGGACTGACTGGACTTCCAGAAGGTGGGGACTGTGTCCTGCGTGTCCAGGGACCTCTCCCAGGATGGGACCCCAGGGGCCATCGTTACCTGGACCAGGCCCGCCAGCAGGTAGAGCCCCACGAAGGTTTTGTCGTTTGGGACTGACTGGCCTTCCACCAGGTAGATGATGGAGAAGAAGATCAGGTGGCCTGGAACCACCAGGAAGAGCAGGACGCGGGCCGACACGGAGTTGATTTCTGGAAGAAACAGAGCAGGGGAGGCAGCATGAGCTGCTGGCAGTGAGGTGCCCGCGGCCCCTCTTCCTGCTGCCTGTGCTTACGGAGCAGCCGCGTGTGCAGCTTGTCTAGCGACAGGGGTGAGGCCTGTCATTCCCTTGGGAGCTGACGTCGTAGGGAAGAGAGAAAAACCAGCATCAAGTAGCAGAAACAAAAGTCATTTCAAACCTGACGGGTACTAGGCGGAAGGCTGACCGGGCTCAAGTGGTGGGGAGTGGAGGTGGGAAGCCGAGGCCCCGGGCGGAGGAAGGAGGACATGTAGGGCTTCGGGGGGCCGAAGGCTCCGGCGTGGGCAGCCCCTCCCTCACGCAGGACCCGGGGACGCCCATCGGCACACTCTCCTCAGTGTCTGTGCTCATGGGTTTGAGACGCTGCGCGAAATGGGATTTCACAGTTTACAACCGCCATGAAACCACCCGTGGGGACACGACAGCTTCTCAGGCAGAAATGGGGAACTGCAGTGAGAAGTCCGTCTACGTTTCCTTCTGAGTTAACCATAAAGCGTTTCATCAGCTAAAGAAAGAAAAGGAGGACAAATCAAACGTAACTATGAAGTCTACCGTAAGATAACTTGCAGCGAGAGGGTGAGGACGCACAAGAGCACCAGAACGTTCATGGTGAAAATTCAGATGAGGGCTAACTTGAAAAAGATGATTGTTTTAAAAAACTTACAAAGGCAAAAGCAAAATAATTATTACTATTGGCAGCTGGCATTAAAACTCAAGAAAATCTACAGAAAGACTAAACAGCAAGAATTCAGTAAATATGTGCTGCTACAGACTGAATATTCGCTTTCCCCCCAAATCCGTAAGTTGTGACCTGACCCGCAATGATGGTGTTAGGAGGTGGTCAGGTGCCCCCATGAGTGAAGGGCCCCCGAAGACCTCCCTCGCCCCCTTCTTCCCTGTCTGTGGACCAGGAGGCCGGGCCTCACCAGTGCTGGTGCCCTGACCTTGGATGTCCAGCCTCCAGAGCTGTGAGAAACGTGTGTTGTTTATAAGCCCCCAGTCTGTGATTCTAAGACAGGTGCACGCTGAAATACATGCAGTACAGGGTAAAGAGCCTTTCTGTATACAGATGACAAGTCAGAAAATACACGGGGACTCCCCACTTTAGACAAGGTGAGGCAGACACACTTCCTGTCCCTCTCACCACTCATCCAACAGCCCTGAACGTCATATGAAACAAACATAAGATTCTGGAAGGTGGAGGGACGAGGCGGGCTGGCCAGGGCTCCGCGGCCCGGGGAGCAGCACGAGGTGAGGTCCCTGAGCTGCTGCCTTGCATCCCAGACCAGATGCTGGGGAGTCAGAACGCGAACGGTTAGTGGCCACGGAAGACAACTCGGCACGAGCCCCCCCCTCCTCCCGTCCTGGCCCCGGAGGTGAGAGGCTGGAGTTTGGGGGGGTAGCCAGGCCCCCTCCCTCCCGGCCAGGCGGGGGCAGAGGAATAGGACTTGAAAAGTAACAAAAGACACGACACCGCGTTGGGTCCCCGGTTCTCAGAACAGACTCCGTGGTCCTTCCTCAAGCTTCAGGCCCTGCAGGACCAGCGCCTGCCCCTCAGGTCCTCGCCCCAGCCCCCCGCCCCCGCTCATCCTCAGCGGGGATGCCTCCCGCCAGCCTTTCCGAGGCCCTTCTGCGCACAGCACGACTTGGAATCCCGTGTGCGTCCGCTCTGCTGGAGCGTGTCTGTCCCCAGGGGTAGGATCGGCTCCTCCATCTCTCACAGTACCTGGAGATGGTCGGTGTACCTCTGGCTGAGCGAACGGACCGGTGAAGGCCACGTTGGCACGTCGGGGCTGGGCTGAGGGGTCTACTGCCACAGACACCAGATTCTTAAAAGAAACGGCCACGTGGCCTCTGGAAGACCCCAGACCCACCTGAGCTGCAGAACGTGGAGCAGGGGTTAGGCCAGCGTTTTTTCATCCAGAGGGGCAGGACCCCAGGCGTGCTCCACAGGTGCAGGTACGTGGAGATCCGGCTGGTCTGAATGGCCACCAGGTTGCCACCAACACCTGCAAAGAGAAAGAATCTCTCCTCCTTTATGCCAGTCTCTGAGTTCTATCCCTTATTTTAAGTCCAGCTCCTCCAGGAAGCCTTCCTTGACTGGTTCAGCCCTTGATTTCTTTTCTTTCCCTCCCACTTGCCCACAGATCTCGTGTCTGGCACCAGACAAGTGTGGCCTGGGGCTCGTGAATGAGGTATCAAGGTAGTAGCTGCATCACCTTGACAGGTGGCAGCACTTAAGGAGAAGGAGGTGTGATGGGGGAGGGAGGGAAGTGGGCGGGGAGGTCTCAGGAAGCCACTCAAGGAAGGAACTTTTCACCTCAAGGCGGGAAGGAGAGGTAAGAGGGCCGAGAGTGAGGGGAGGGAGGGTTGTGTGGCAGCCGAGCTGGGGCTCATTGAGGGGGGTGGCTCTTGGCGTCCTGGGGAGCTGACCGTGGCCAGCTCTGCTGGGGCCCCAGGCCCCAGTGACAAAGGCCCCTCGGAGCCCCTCCAGGCAGAGAGCGGGGCCTGCCCCTGGCAACTGTCCCCTTTAGAGGGCGGTTGGGTTGCCCACTGCCTCATCCCTATGGAGGATGACCCCTAACTGGGCCAGATGTGCCCCAGCTGCTCCAGAGGATGCAAAGAATGGCCATGGGCAGAGGGTGACTGCAGATCTATTTTGCTTAGCCCACGATGATTTATTTAAAAAAAGATAAAAGAAGAAAATAAATTGGCGGCCTTTCCACATTAGGCCCTTAATCCAGGTTCCTGTCTCCCTGGGGCTCCGTTCTCGCCAGCCCGCAACCGGCCAGCCACCACGCGGGTCGCCCAGGAGCCCACCCTGCACTGCTCCCCACCGCCCACCTCGCCTCCCTGCGCAAGTCATTCGCGGTGCTCACTCAGCCCCTACAGACACTGAGCAGAGGACCCCAGGGGACTCTCTAGGCCTGTGGCCTCTGGGCCAGCTGCTGCTGTCCTCCTTGTCAGTGGCCGGCCTGGCACTGGGAGAGGCCCTGTGGACTCGGCTGGGTGCAGGCCTGGCACGTACAGGACACTGCAGACGGCCTGGGCAGTGGGTTGTCACACTCGTTCCTCTCCGACCAGCCGGCCCCACTTACAGAGCCTTACCAGAAACTAGACACAAGCTGAGCTTGGGCTAAATGCCCAGAGTTAAGCCTGGAAGGTGAACCAGTGGAGGGTCCGGAGGAGACCCAGGGGATGGAGGAGATTGAGGCAAGCTGATTCCTGCCCACCCCACCGTGAACCAGTGTTGTCACAGCCTTGTGTTTTAAGGAGAAGACAGGAATCCTGGTTTCTCT